AAAACAATATTTTTTTTATGTTTCTCAACCACTTGCCAGATCCTGTCACTTGTCCACCCTGTTTTTTCTTATTAATGAGAAAACTAGTTAACCTTTGAGTCTGTTTTGTTCTGTCCATCATTCATCTTATGTTTCACACTTTTTGTTTGAAATTAAATATTGAGTGATGTCTTATACAATCATGTTATCACTTTCTAAACCCTACTATTATAATTCAACCTTCCCAGAGAGTATAATTGTAATTTTTTTGTAGCAGTTATACTGCCTAAAGTAATTATGGCTCAGTTAATGGAGTATTATGATAAATCTGATTAATTATTACATGGCTATGATGTGCACATTATTTTCAGTTGTGAAGTTTAGTGTGAAATCATTGCTCGCCAGCCAAGGTTCATTTATTTGGCCATAAACTTGGTTGAATTCCCGGTATTAACCTGTTTTCGTTGTTGTCTGAAACAAACACAGCATTCCTTGCTCTGGTACATTTCTGATGGTAAATGGAACAAATGTCAAGTGTTGTGAAATGTGGAGTTGAATTTTTTTGCAAGTTGAGCTATGACGTGAATATAAAACAACAAAATCTATTTGTTTAAAGTTGAAATTGATGCTAGTTGTTGTGATGAAATCAAATCAAATTTAACTGAGGTCAAGTACAGCTATTTCTAACATAACGCACAGGTTTGTAGAGATGACAATGGATGCACGGGATAGGTGAACATCATGTATTAACGTTACAAATCATCAATTTATGAGTTAAAACTGTACGTAGTCAACACTAATATATTTCTAACACTTATTGAAAACAGTAACCAGAAATGTAAATACGTATGCGCTTACAGTAGATGCGCTTAGACATTCTGCCCAATTAGTTTTCTATTCGCCAGCATAGTTTCGTAAAATTATGTCTTTTTGACACTCACTTTTTACGTGTATTCATTGGGATATTTTGATAGCCATTGAGTTATGGATTGTATTGTCCAAACTTGGATAGTACGAGCCCATGACATCATCCAGCTCTACAAGTGAGTGATATCAAGTGATAACCTCGTAGTATCATCCTCTCACCTACTATTATTTGTGAATAATAGTAGCTAGCCTTCATTATGCGAGATAACCTTATAGAATACATGTACATTTCACTGCGTCCATGAAGTTGTTGGATCCTTTTCTTGACTATATTCGGGTGTCTTTCAGAGTATCGTAGTTGTGCATTCATTCCATCTCCATTGAGTGTTAATTAGTCTTCAGGTTCAAAATTGGATATTGGATTTATACTTTGTTCATGTTTCTATTATTATTCAGCATATTGGTTGATTTCCTACATTCTAATGTCTTGGGCTCCACTCCAAACTACATGTACATGTGCTTAATTTTTTTACTTAACCCTTATGTGGTCATGTCACCATGAAAATTCATTGTGAAATTGACAAGATTGGAGTTAATGCTTTTATCAACAAAGTCCTGAGTAAATAAGAAAAGAAACTGCATCTACTTTTGTTATTCTCTTTAATATATAGTAGGCAATCTGATTAAAAGTCTCTAAGCATATACAGCCTTCACATTCTTTCCATTGTCTCATCAGTGGTTGTGATGCAATATTGAATATTGAAAATGTGGATCTATGCAAAAAGTAAAAGCAGTTTCACTCTAATGTTTTATTGTATGTTTCCACAGCAATGTTGCATTATTTGAGTATAGCTAATGGACATACGCTCTCTATAATGAGAGCAGGATTCGAGGAATGAAATAGATGTAGTCTTTTCTCTATTTCTCTTATTTGTGACATTTAAATGGTCTCTAGGCTCTGCTTGTACCCTGTGTGCTTTCCCATTCAGTGTTTTGACACAACCGTTGATTCATTTTTAGCTCTGCTGTCGACTTTGTCGAGCGGAGCTTATCGTATGAGTGATTGTCCAGCGTCGGCGTCGTCCGTGTCAATGTTTTACTTTTTCGACTTCTTCTTGAAAACTACAAGCCTGAATGCTTTGATACTTGGTGAATATGTACCTCTCTCAGATTTGTTCATTTCATGATCATATCTTCAATTCTCTAATTTTGGTGAATATTTTTGTCATTTTTAGTAAAAAGTGATATTTTCGACTTCTTGTTAAAAACCACAAGTCTGATTGCTTTGATATTACATATATTGGTACTACATGTGGATCTCTCTCAGATTTGCTCATTTTGTAATGATATCTTTCTCTAATTTTGGTAAATATTTTTGTCATTTTTGGTAAAAGGTGATATTTTCGACTTCTTGTTAAAAACGACAAGTTCAATTGCTTTGATATTACATATATAGGTACTACATATGGACCACTCTCAAATTTGTTCATTTCATGATGATATCGTCAATTTTCTAATTTTGATGAATATTTTTGTCATTTTTGGTAAAAAGTGATATTTTCTTCTTGTTAAAAACCACAATCATTTATGGTTAAAAATTATATTTTTGAATTCTTGTTGAAAACAGCAATTCCCATTGCATTGATACTATGCATATTGTTCATTTTCTAATGATATCTTCTGTTCTTTAATTGAAATGTGCATTGCTAACAGCGGAGCTATCTCAGCCGAGAGGCTGCTTGTTTGATATTCCTACTAAATTGAGCAGAAATGTATCCGTTATTTTTCAGAACAAACTGATCATTAATCAAATATCATTAAGCGACATTGATTGTTGACTCTTGTAAGCAAAGTACATGATGGAAGACTTTGTAATCAATGTTTGTATTTATGTGTGTGCATCTATTTCACTGATATCTCAAGAACCTGTCATAAAATTTCAAATAAACCTGCTACTTTAAAGCTTTGAGATAATCCTCAAGCTTGATTAATTTTTAGTTGTAATCATTGAATGTTAATTCTCCAATTTACATAAAACTTACCGATAGTACTGTAAAATCTCTATTAGAAGCCGCAGCTTCTATTATAATGGTAAAATACAACAGAGGGAATGCTGAGCATCCACATATATGAGAAATGATAAATTTTTGGTTCTCAATTGTTCAAAAAGAATGAGTACGACTTCTATTAGGGATGCAGCTTCTAATAGAGATTTAAAGGCCCAATTCACTTGCCCCGGGCAAGTGTGAATTGGAGGTGTGGCTACGCTAATGAGTGTTGTTAATCACTTGCGTAGCCTATGACACATCCTGTTTCAGCGGTCCAACATCACGTGACTTTGATTGACAGTAGTAATTATTCAAGATTAGTCGCGCATCCCTTTCCCCGGTTCATGTTTTTTTACTTTTATCCGCCAAAATCTCAGCTCGTACACTATTTATTGTCATAAATACTACACACAGTCACTGCTGTGATATTCATAGTCACATGCATCCACTTTGGCACGACATAATAGACCTGTAAGTTTGAGAAACATGTTTTTACCGGAGCTTGGCTGGAGCTGTTTACTACAGCGTGACAAGCAAAGAAATAATCCCTATTGTTTAGGAGCGTATTTATAGTATACCTGGGCCTTTAACGATACATAGGTACTGTACTAACGAATAATCCATAGACTTAATTACTTTAGGGGTGAAATCAATGCATAATAATAATTTTTAGCTGTTTCACAGGTTATCAAAAGCCATTTATCACATTTACATGCATGTTGTACTGGAGTAATCTACAGATGTTATTATCTTAGGTTTAAAATTTTTGTTACTGTTAATCTTATTATGCATCTCAAAGTTCAGAGTTACATGTATATGGCTAATCTTAACTTTTTTATTCAATTTTTAAATATTCCCTATTTCTGCTTAATGTGCTTCCAATACCCGTCTATACGTCAATAGTTCTTTCTCAAGTTTCTTTGATTTAAAGTGTTGTGATGTATAATTTATTCTATTTTTTTATTTTTTTTCTAAACAGTATAGAGAAGATTGGCAAAGTAATGTCACCAGTGCTGGTTATACATGGTACAGAAGATGAGGTTATAGATTTTTCCCATGGCTTAGCAATCTATGAAAGGTGTCCACGTGCCGTAGAGCCGCTATGGGTAGAAGGTGCTGGACACAATGACGTAGAGCTTTATGGACAATACCTGGAAAGACTTAAACAGTTTGTTTCACATGAATTACCCATCACCGATTGATAAATGGCCAAGATAATATTAACTTAATTATTCAAGTATTTGCTAGGTGACTTGTTTCACTTAGCTGTTTTTATTTTAGAACTGTTTAGAAGAAGAAAAAAATATGTGCAAGTTTCAGTCAGTTTGAATAAATAAGATTGTGTAAGGATGGAGGGGAATTGGGTTGGGTTGGGTTGGGTTGGATTTGGAGGGGGTCCCCCATATATTTAATGTACTGTAAAATCTGTATTAGAAGCTGCATCCCTTATAGAAGCCACACCCATTCTTTTTCAACAATTGAGAACTGAAAATTCACTATTTCTTGTGAGTGTAGATGCTCTAATAGAAGCTGCATTCCTTCTGTTACATTGTACCATTTTAATACAAGTTGCAGCTTGTAATACAGATTTTACAGTATATATTTTGAACGTGTCATTTGTTGCTATTGTTTGTTACACATTGACTACCACAGCACCAAGCATATCAGAAATAGATTTGGTGCTGTGGACATTTTTATTGCACGCTTACTTTAACAGTGCATAATCATGGCCATCTTAATTTCAATTTGTTTTGTTACTAATATGTTATTGACCAATTCATAGAGGCTGATGTGCATACTTTGTGTTATAGACTGAAAATCACTTTATTATTATACCTCACAATTTTCTGGCATATGTTTGAATTCTGATCCCTAATTGCTATCATTTTTATGTCTTCTACAGTTTTTATTGTGGCATATAAATCATGTCAACTATTCCCATTATTGAATTTGAACTTCATCACTCTATTTTGAGAAAATCTAAATTGAACAGAAAATTATTTTTCAACTTCAGTATATTGCTCTGGGCTGTATATTGCAGCACAAGAAATGTAACCTTTCTGATAAGGCCAAAGTGGGTGGGTTCACCAGGAACATGACTCAAATGATATAAATCACTGTTTTTATAGTATACATGTATCTGTTGGGTTGTATAATTGTAAATAGACATAATTTCTCATTCGGGTTTTACTTTTCACTTGGGTGTTTACAGAGCCAACCCATGAATACATGTGTATCAGTCAGTAGGCAATTTGGTGTAGTTTATTGATAAGTTTTACTGGTTAGTCAAGTAGCTTCCTACCAGGAATGCAAAAAATGGAGAAATACATGCAATTTTATAAGACATGAATGGTCAAATTCCCCCCCCCCCCCAAGAGACACTCGCTACATTCAAATCAGAAGTTTTCTATGTCTACTCAGAATATCAATACACACAAGTCACAATAATTCATGCCTTTATAAGTTTGAGTGTATTACTTGATATAATTTTAGAAGAGTTGATATTGCTGTGAGATATTTACTAGGTTTTAAAATGGTTTAGGAAAAAAAATATATAAAGTTAACATTGCATATACACTGGGTTTTCCTTTAAATATTACCAAATTTCAATGCTTGTTGCAGTTGTAGCCCAAAACTATGAAGAACACTGATCTGTATTTGACCTTATTATTTTTATTGACAATCAGATTTGTATGTTCAGAGAAAATGAGCAGATTTATTCCCGATTTGATTCAATAATGACTCCCTCCCTCCCTTTCCCCCTCCTTTCCCCCTCCCAGGGTTTGGGTGAAACATGAATGGAAACTTGTAATTCCAGTATACAGCATTTTTAACTGACAAAGAAACATTCCCTTTTCTTGAATATTTAATCTTAACATTTACTTTTTTTTTTCTCTTGCAATTTGCCCATATTTATGTGGATTTGTAGTTTACAATGTATTTATGTCATGCGTGTTCTTGTACAGTTATACATTGATTACCACTTACCAGTGGTCAGTGATTTGATTATGTGATACCCAAGTTTTACCCTTTCAGTTTGTTCCTGTATTTGTGCATAGTACATTTAGGTTGAATCATCCCTGAGCATCTGCTTTTCTGAAATGCTAGGTACTTACCAGTGTTTAGTTCTGATTTCTAAATGTGTACATGTCGCCATACTGTTGGAGCACACTGTTGCTCTGTCATCCTTGCTTGGCATGATCCTTTCAATTCTTTTACGCAATGTCTGTCACCTTCTACACATGTACAAAGTGGAGTTCTATTTAAAGCGAAGGGGGTCATCACTTGCGCGCACACAGGAATTGAGTGCCAAACGAGGATACTACCGGTAACACATGCTAAAAATGCAAAGGATCATGGGTAGATGCGCATTTGTAAACAGTGACACACTATGGTCAATTGCCGCATGCGCAGGTCACGACTCCCCTCGCTTTATTATCTGCTTCAACAGCATAAAAAAACAAAGCAATGTCACATCACTGATAGCCCAAAATAGTTGTTAAATTGAAGAACATTAGACAATTTGCGGTAACTTGGGCTGGTGTTCTCTAGAATATTGCTTTAGAATTTATGAAAAAGTGTTGTCTGACATTGTCACCTTTGCTCTTGAATTTTGAAAGTTTTTTCTCTAGCATGTTAAATTTGATTCCATTTCCTGCGAATAACACTCTGGTATACATTAAGGCTAAACTGAAATAGAAAAAAAAGTTTAACTGCATACTTCATAAAAATCATGTTTACCCAGCGATTTTTTTTTTTTTTTTTATTCACATATAAATGCTATGTCATTTCATTGAAAAGTACCCGTATATACAATTGTTCATTTTATCGTATTAAAATTGAGTTTGAAAAAAACACACAACAAATGTTTTCAATTCACTGTTCCAGGCACTGTTCTACAAATCTTTTTTTTGTCCCCTTCCTCAGGGAAAATCTTTGCAGTCATTGTGCTGCGGAATAATTTGATTGAGTTTTGAAACTAGATTGTAACCATCATTTGATGAGAATATGTGTCATCTGCAATGAATTGAATCTACCCCCCCCCCCTAAATCTTGTTAATTCAAGGCAATAATCTTATTACAAGTACTTTAGTAATAGATTTGTTTTCTTTAAATCAGCAACTTACTTAGATTTATTACAAAAACTAGTGTTCATCACATATAAAAGATCTGTGACTTGGTAAGAATTGTTATTGCTGCTGCTGCCTTTGTTGACAAATTTGGGAAAATGATATATACTCAGTGAAATATTGGATTTAACCATGGTTCATTCATAGCTAGAATACATCTGATTTCAATTGTGGCCAGGACTCAAACAAACTGTTTTTGTTACATTAGGTTACCAATAGCCTGTGAAAGAGACTTTTCTGTTTCATGTCGTAACGTAACACGACTCCTTTGACAGGCATGTACGAGTGATTATATAAGTATATCTAGCATGAACGATCATAAAATAATCAGAACACGTCTTGTAATTTCAGCACCTCACGAGCATTTAAGATATAACTGTCACGAAAACTTTGAGACCTATTCCATCCATTACTAACTTGTTTGATTGATTAATTATTCCCACTGTTTTGTTATTATTGATATTCACCCATATGCTATACTACAGTGGGTTAGTCATTGTGCGTTTATGTATAACCACCTGTGATATTTTACATTCTAACATGTGTGTTCCCCTTCCATATAAAACTAAATATTATAAATGAAAATTTAATTTACTTGTATATATGCAAGAGTCTTGAACCCAAGTCTATGCTGCTCATACATTTTGTGTATAATGAAATTTACTGTGGTAATATGTGCATGTAAACAAATTTGTATGTGTAGAGAAAAAAAACGATTCAATATAATACATTTTTCCTTTGTTTTTTTTAGTCTTTGTATTTATTGTGCACATTACATTTTACAGTATTTTCCTTCTGTATCTGTTTTTGTCCTGGAGCTGTGTATACTATTCAAATTTGACTATATCAAACTATCACCATCCCTAAAGAGACCTGTATGTATGGCAGTGTGCCCTCTAAAAGTAGTTTGTTGACTACTTGGAAAAGAGGGGTCTTCAAGCGAAAACAAACCAAAAATGTCTGTTTCTGGTCAGTAGGCTGGTGGTTTTTTGTCCACTTAGCCATTGCTCAGCGCCCTCTGTTGATGAATTTATAAAATATAAGTCACCACCACATTTTTGAAAAACTATACTTCTGGTAACAGTTTGACAACGCAGGTAACTAGTAATTGCCATATTGTTCCACTGGGCCAGAGATTCTGGCCCGAAAGCATGCGACTGAGTGACTCAATTTGAATTTGAATTGTATTGCTGCTATATAATGCCATGCCCATCTAGTCTACCTGCTTAGACTTCATATGAGATGGTTCTGCATTTCATACTATTTGTTAAACAAGTTTTATATGCATACAACTTTTAGGAGTTAAAATCAATCAAAATGCCAGAACCATTACTAGTTATCAGCCTCTTCCTGCCTCAAGTGTCCTGGCCTCAGTTTGGAGAGCCATGACACTTGAGGCAGGAACAAACCAATACTGCTTGCAGGATTTGTTGCTTCTTGAGGGCGCTGTATTGTTCTGACAGTGTAGGTCCACAAGTTTTCACACAAGAACACATTCTATCACCCATGTATTAACACATCTTCTGCCAACATGTCTCCACATTTGTCTGTGGAGGCTTTCTGACAACGCATCTTTTCAAATTGTGGTAGAATTTTCGTAATTGAACTGAAACTGAGCTATTTATTTACTCCGTAATCAGTGTTAAGTAATGTTGCAACAATTGGACTATGACTCTGAATTTGTTTCTGCATAAAAGTATATATTAATAATAATAATCTTGTATATTGTTACTCCTTTGATTAATACTGGATTACTAGTAATTTCATTGAAAAATTGGGGTAATGGGCCAAACATGTTTTTTAACATGACTGACTCATGTACTCCCTATACTGTAATCACTTGATTTGACGAGAAGGCTTTTCTATTATGACAGTTTAAATAGTCTTTTTGTTGGTCGCTATGGGTGTTCCGTGTCAGACACTCATTTAAGCAAATACAAGATATTGATAATACAATAGTTCGTGACAGATTGAACACAAATTACTTTTTTTATCCTGGATATACGAAATTGTTAACCCTGGACAAACACAGTTATCTTCTATAACTCGCCCTCATTACAGGCAAGATAAAAACAAAATTAGTCACTGCATTCTTAATGCAAGGTTTTATTTCAGTTCTTTACAAGTTATGATTTCTATCAACATTTGTTGAAGGGCTAGTAGACCTTAATAATGTCACATTTATGATGCTTGGTCTCACAAAAAGTGGTTTACACTTCATAGAATAAAATGAAAGATGCCAAGAATGTTTTCTTTATAGAGATCAGACATCAACTTCATTATAACATCACAAGCACACATTTTACATCAATGGAACACCTGTGAAAGTGATTACATTAGTACCAACTGCAATGTACATGTATCTGCAAAAACTGGTAAAACAATCTACAAGTCAAATGGTGCTTGTACCCATGACATCAAAGCAAGATGTAATGCACTATTAAAGTCTATCAAATATGCATTTTTGACGCCAAAACAACTTTAGTTCCAAAATAATAACAGGCCTTCCACTCTCCTGGAATGCCACAAATGTCACCAACATTTTATTGTGCTATCTGCTTGTTTGTATGAAACACAGCAGTGGAACATCATTTACCTTTATAAAATAATATCATAACTTTCTTCTCTGTGTATGCGCTGGAGAATCCATATTCTTAGCACTTTGGATTTAGTGGCAGTGGTGATCATCTTTCCTTAGGACAAACTTAACTTTATCATGTGTGGTGTTTTTCACCATTCTCAACTGTTTAGTTTTAGAAGTCAACAGTTTTGTGCCAATGAAAAATTGACAAAAAACCTGCAGCAACCAAACAGTGCAACAAAAAAAACATTTCAGTAAATGTTTACAATAAACCTGCCCCACAATTCTGTACACTCGTCCAATTTTCTATTTATTCTCAACAGAAAAACTGGTGAAGCACTTGGATTTGAAAGTTGCACGTTTTAGAAAGACAATAAGAAACCAAATTTCTACAATTCATCTCAACCTGCAACAATTGAACACCACCTCTTGTAACTATAAAATGAATAAGTATCTTAAGCTTTTCACCACCAGACTTTCTGGCCCAAATTTGTCTGCACTTTTTTTGTTGCCAATAGACAAAATTTGAGTAAATTTTCAGATTTTACTCAAAAAAAATTGTCTATTTTTTCCCCCCCAAAAAAAGAAACTATTTTGTGATGAAAAGATAAAACTGGTGGTGAAAAGGTTAATATTGGATAGCGTGACACCAAATAGACATGCTCCTAATATGTAAATGAACCACCATGTTTAGATCAGCAGAAAAAAATACATAGTGCACTATCTGCATCATCGGTAGAGTTGGTTGTCATGGCTACATCATTTTATTCTCCAAATTTGAATCTGAGGTAATTGATCATGATATGTGATAGTGGTAGGTAATGTATTCTATCCAGTCTATTCGGTCCAATGGCGTGCCGAATTACCAATCTGCACATATCTTGCAATGATCTAGGACTCCCTGAAAACAAAAACAAAATTTGAATTATTTTTTGCAAATTAAAATGATATCAGCTTTTATTATTAGTAACCCTATTTTATGCTACATGCAGAAAAGTTAAGTACACAGTTTATGATAATATGCTGTACATGATCGCTGAAAATGAGTGAATAATATTCATAATACGTTGCAGTCTACAGAAAATGAATCGTATTCATACATTGTATAACCGCATTGAACAAATAATGCTACAATTTAATTTAGCAGCACATCATCTTAGATTAGATCTTAGATTTTATTAATTCGCAGTAGTAAAAATAATTGTTTTTTCTTGTGTATGAACTATTAAATACAATTATTATTGGCACAGTGATTGTGTTTTTGTTTTGTTTTTCAAATGAAAACGGATGAAGGCAGATAGATGTATGCCATGATATGATCTAGCATTGGCAAGTTTAGCGAGAATTTTATGCACAAAAAGACAATCTAGTTCTGATGGAGCTGCAAAAAAATAATGATACCGGGCGATCTTTTGGCAGATATTACGAGGCCCATCGTGTCTAAAAAAATAACCCTGCGTTGATAGAAATCGGCTGGTATCTTGTGTAAGAAATAGACAAGGGATGAAGGCTCCAGCCAGCTCACATTTTTTAAACTAGAAAAAAT